CTACAACATATCTTAAAAATTACCAAAATTTGATGAGCTCGATTAAGTAGGTTCTGTAGGAGTCGGTCGCGACTTCTGTAGACTGGCTTCTTTATACATTAATTGTCAATACCTTAAAACTTGAATAACTCGATTCGGACTAGCCATGAGCAACTCATATTTGTTTTTGTAGTTTCTTGTTGAGGATGATAATTTGACCCCAATATAGTTAAGCAATTCAACTGACATAACAATCAATTCCATTTGTAGGTGACAAAACTGCAAGCCCATTAGTCGTCTATTAGGTGAAAGAAACATTTTGTTCTCAATTAAAAGTAATCCAGAAGAGTGGGCTGAAACTTTAGAATATGAAAAACCTTTACTTCAAGTCGAATTTCACTTCTACTGGTTGGTTAACTTTCTGTAGCCATCATATATTTATTAAACATCATAAGGAGTCCTTACGTCACGATAAGAACCCATGGGCTCAATGTTTCTAGTTAGAATTTGTATGACGGCTGTAAATTGTTGATTGAAGTTTCAACCTCATATTTCTGAATCTTGAAAGGCAAGAATATTGATAAAAATGACTGAAACAGAATAGTTTCTGTGTTCTAAAGTTTGACACAGAACCAACCAAAATCAAGATGCTTGAAAAGTTCAATCAGATCGGATCGTTAATCGACGTATTGGTTTATGTTATATCCATGTTGTATATTGCTGTATCGCTTTTTCAGATGGAATTCCACAATCATGTTTTCAGTACACAGGTTATAGAAATTAATCGTTTCGAAGATGGCGTAGGAAACGAAATCGATATTGAAAGTCTCATAACCATTAATGCAGGACAGACGCAACATCGTCCACCATCATCATTGGCACAACAGGCAGTCCTTCGTGTACCCATCGACCAATCTCGCATCCCAGATCAGCCATATATACCAGGTGAATATGAATTGATCTTTTGTCTTTTCTTTCAGAATCATTCCATCAAAAACACAAATTAACCAAGAGAGTGGCAAAAATTTAAATTTTAGATTTTATATTTGCATTCAGAAGGTAAACATCTGAAATTAACAAATCGAAATTTTTAGTTCATTTAGATATTTTATAGAAAAGATACTCTATATCAACATTTCGGCACTACGTACTATGCTACCCATATCGTAAATACCGAACAGTTTTTAGTGGTAAACCGCGGCAAATTGCAGTAACGGGAGCCAGTAACCGGACCGGTAAAACCGCGGTTAACCGCCGGTTTTCTTCCGTTTTTTATCACATGAGTATTGAGAAAACAGTCATAAATAGTCTCATAAATGCATACCTACCTGTATAATACCTCAAAAATTAGAGAATTTTTTTACAAGGCGAAACCAACGACAGAGCATCAACAACTGAAAACAATAAGCTACTAAAGTTATTGTCCATCACTTAGTTACTGGGATTATATAGCCCAACATAAGTAGCAAGGGTATGAGTGGGTGTGTATGGGTGCGGGGTGTGAGGGGGTGGTGTGGGTCGGTAACAGCGCAACGACAAGCACACCCTACATCCACCCCTCACATTCCACCAACACACCCTTTCGGTCCAATCTCAGGAAAATCCTTGATGCTTCCGTGCCAGTTCCTGACAGGATTCGAATCATGATTCAATGAGGTTCCTGAACTGATTATCATTGTTTTTTATCAGAAGTCGTTCCGAAATTTGTTAATTCATTTAAGAAGTGTGAGGCCATGGAATTTAAAGATCCTGACAGTATTTGAAACAAGATTCAATCAGGATTCTGAACAGATTATCATCGCTTGGGGGCGTGGACGTGGTTGTAGGTGTAAACGCGACTCATTTTATGTTAACTGGCAGTTACAGCCACTGATACATCTTTCTGTTGGATTCTAGTTAAGACTCTCCTTTGATTCAGCTACAATAGTTGACTGAATCTTTGTATCAAGATCCAGATCAGAACTTGCTTACAAATTGATACAATCTTGAGAGAATGCTCTCTATTATTTCTATCAGAATTCTGAGCAGGACTACCATAGAAAACCCTTCGGATCCTACATTCATGATTTAGAAAAAAATCTGGACAGGAACCTGAAGAAATTCTGAACAGGATCTTGTATAGTTTTGAGAAGTCCTGGAGACAGACATCGTCAGGAATTGAGAAAGAACCCTGAGAAAAACTTGACTAGACTTTTGAGATCCTAGATTCTGATAGCTCCATCTAGAATTTCTCAAGGAATGTACAGAATTGAGACTAGGGAATGGAAAATAAATTGATTTGGTTTTCCACGTTGCTCGAAACTGCGTACATTGTAGGTGAATAAATATTTTTATGACCTTGTGACGCAATTTGGAAGCTTTGTTTTTTCTTCGAGTCGTCGATGTATCATTAAATGTCCGAAATGGATTCTCTGATTGTTAGTTTCCAAGTCGTTGTAATACACACTTCAAATGACTAGTTCTGAAATGCTTCACCAGGTCCTATTTTAGCCCTTCCGATGACTATGTCCAATCGACGATTCTTGGAAGTGAAGAGTACGATTTTGTTGAACTAGGTTATAGATCCAAGTAAATAATTGATATGAAACATTTTAAATAGTTCTCTTTTTTTCAATTCTTAATATTCTATCGTTTGGTATATTACATGTAAAAAATTTTCTGATGTATTGAAATATAATCTCAGTAAACGTACAGGAGTTTACTTAGGACTAGTTTCTTTATACTAAATTACCTAGTGTCGAAATGTCAGTATATATTAACTTTCCTATAAAACATCGTAATCAGCCAACAACTTTAGTTTGCTAATTTCAGATAACGATCTTTCAAAGGCACATGAAAAACCAAAAATTTAATTTTTTAGCGCATCATGTAATTGTATGATTCTTAGTCTCCTCATGAAAGCTATCTTAATATCTATACAATGTTGTAACAATTGTTTTTTACTCATTCATACTTTTGCAAAGAAAAAATCTCTCTTTCCCTGATAGAAGCCACCTAACATACGCCTCTTCAGAATGGCCTCTTACACTGTAGAAAAAGAATTTATTCACACATCATCAAAGAAAGGTGCCGATCATAAAGGGTGTGGGTGTGAGTGAGGGCGTGGATGTGGGTGTGGATGTGGATGTGGGTGTGGGTGTAGGTGTGGGTGTGGGTGTGAGTGTAGATGTGGATGTGGATGTGTAAGTATGGGGTTGGGAGTTCGGCGTGCATTTACTCTTCAACCACATCCACATCCCTACCCACACCCACACTCATACCCCTATCCATCCCCCTATCCACACTCCCACTAACACCCCTAGTCACACCCACACCCACACCCTAAGTGCAGCAGGCCAGTCAGCTTCAGTCGAAAAACACCGTTCTCTTTAACATTGTCGATCTACTTACATAGGTCCAATCTGGTATGGCGAGTGTATGGTCTGTCGCGATCGTGACAACGAAGGTTTTTTACGTGCTTATGAAGGTTCGGCTGTCGTCTGTGGTCATCCATTGTGTGGAGAGTGTGCGGAACGCATCCTAACAACAACAAAGGTCTGTCCCAAATGCCGACGATTGGCTCATTCTTTTGTCCGACTCGTTTCTCCATGACACATACGCAAAGACGTTGAAAACGAATTGCAAAATAGTCACATTATTACACATACTCTTATCAATGGATGCCCGTTTGCTTTTATCGAAATTGAAGTTTCTCTTTACAATTGCGTTTGTCCTTCCTTTTTAAGTGTGTTATCGCTTTTTTTACTTGCATGTATGCTGTTTCTTTTGCTTCAACACAAAATTTTGAGAGAGAGAGAGAGTCAATAAGCAAACGATGCATTAAAAGTGCTTCAATTGACAGTAAAAAAAACAATATTGCTAGAATCATATTCCATACTTTCGACGACGAATGCTTCGTACTGCTATTTATTAACATAACAGTGTAGCTTTTCATTGTGAGCTGATCAATTTACTAGAAATCCTGGGTGTGAGTACCGGTGAGGTGTGGGGTGTGGGTGCGAAGTGCAGGGTGTGGGTGAGAGTGTATATATAGATGTGAGTGTGAATGTAGCTATGTATGTGCGTTTGGATGTGGGTGTGCATGTGGATGTGGGTATGGATGTGGATGGGGGTGTGAGTATGGGTGCGGTTGTGGGTGTGGGTGTAGGTGTAGGTCTGGGTGTGGATCCGGGTGCGGGTGTGGGGGTGGGTGTGGGGGTAGATGTGGATGCGAGGTTCGATCTAGATGTAGACTTGGGTCGAAGTGAGGAAGGTTTTTCTACAGTAAAATTGTATACACACGCCCACACAGAGCACTCGTCCCTCGTGATCACATCTCGTTCTCACACAACGAACATCATCTAAAGCCACACTAACAACAGTACTCACAGATGCACGTCACTAAAGTACAATACCTACGACCAGATCTAGTCCAGAAACATTAATGCATACGGCGCCCATACACGCATTCATATCCAGTGACACTGTTCCAGCTAAATCTATAGGAGCATACAGAATCATCCCAGCGCATATACCCACACTTCGCAAGAGTAGTAAAATTTGCAATAGTCGAACAGAGTGAAAGCATAAAAAAGGCTTGCTGGGGTGATAACATCTACCTATGTTTCATTTTCTTGTCTAAAGCAACTTCCAACGTAACCAAGCGATGATTAGCCTATAGTACACTCGAAGTATCACCAGCAGCAAAATTGTAGGCTGGCTTTTTAGAAATCTATAAGCGATCGTTGGAGAGCTATATTGTATTACTTTTCTTCTTTCGTTCTGCTTTATTTTAAAACAACTGATACTCTATAAAAAGAGCAGCAACGAATGAAAAGCGAAAAAGAGACCAATTGAAGTTGCAGTAAAACAACATCTACAAAAGTTTTGCTCATTGCATGGCAGCTACATTGGATACCATTGCCAGCGTTGAAAAAGTGATGGATCAGCCAGACACAATTCTTTTTGGGGAAGCGAATGCTGTCATCAATCCAATCGAATCCAATGACAGCTCGCACTCATTAGTCGCGAGATCATCATCGATGGGTATGATAAAAATGGACAATTATCAAGTATTCGAAACTATTACACTTTTTTTTGTATAGTCGAAGAAGTGCCCTTCAACAATGGTTCAGAAGAGAATAGAAGACGCTTTGTTAACTATGGGCCATGTATAATGTGCAATGTTCACAAAATATGTATTCTCTTTATTGGCTGCAATCACTTGGCCTGTTGTAGCAGATGTTCAGAGACTTGTGGCGACTTTTGTCCAGTTCCGAATTGCAATCAGAAAATTAATGAGCGTCTGCATGTATTCGAGCCTCTTTTTTAACAGCACGGCGTCGTTCTTCGTATAAAAATTGGCAGAATTGACAGGAAGTTGGGGGAACTTCAATAAGTCACTAAATATTAACAACGATACCACATAAAAGCTAGTTAATTCATCGGATGTGTAGGCTGGAGATATCGGTGTGGAATATGGGTAGTGAGAAGCTCATGTAGCTCTGGGGTTAGTGCAGATGTAGGTGTCTGTGCACGACATGATGTGTGTTGCTGCGTTCATGTTTGTGTGTCTGGGTGTGAGCGTAGATACAGATACCAGACCGTAGGTACGAGCATGAGCGAAGGTGTAGGTGTGGTTCTGTGCGTGGGCAAGAAGAAAAAAACATACTTTTGTACTTTTGTATGTTTTCTCATTCTTCTGACGCTTCTTCGTACATCCCCATACTTCTTAGCAGTTCGTTATAATTCTTAGTATTTCTCCATATTTCATTGCATTTCTCGCTACTTCTTTGTATTTGGGTGTGGGTGAGAGTGTGGATGTGGGTGTGGATGTGGACGTGGGGTGGATGTGGATGTAGGCGTGGGTGAAGGTGTGGGTGAGGGTGTGGGTGTGGGTGTGGCCGTGGATTTTCTCTTAACTCACCCACACCCACACCCAAAGGTCCTTATAAAAGTCTCAAAAAGTCTCAATAAGACTGTTTTGAGACTCTTTCGAGGCTTTTGGCGCTCTCAGAAAGGTCCTAATAAAGGTCTCAAAAAAGTCTCAAAAAGACTGTTTTGAGACTCTTTTTCGCTGGGAGAAAGATCTCAAAAAGATCTCATTATCGGTACATTAGAAGGCGGTGTCGATACGGTCATGTGGGGTGGTTTTTTGGTCGTAAATTGCGATATACGTTGATAAAGCCGGGTGATGTGGCATTAGGTGGCACAGCAATAGGTATTCGGCCTGGTCATATATCCAAGATTGTTCGTCGTACGAACCGATATACGAGTTCGGAGGAATTGTTTGACATTAATCAAATCTTTACATCTCCATCAATTCGCTACTCTTCACACCCTGCTTATGCAAAGCAGTTCATTGTCGATCATCCTCAACGTTCTGATGTGCGTATTGGAATGCGATTCGTTTTTCAATGTCGTCAGCCTCCAGGATCCTATAAAATCGGACAGGAAACAGTTGGTGCACGCGATACGAAGTTAGACGTATACTTTGATAACAACGAACTCGAATGGTACACGAAAGAAAACGTTGGCGTAGTCTTGACTGGTCTTTGTGTGCAACTGCGATATGTAACTCGACCACATAAAAAATAACAGCTCGTCGCTTTTCATTTTAATCTAAAGAATAATAATATTTATTAAATATATATTTTGTTTACAAAAACTAGTGATAATCATTGTATATTGGATCAGTAGCGTAGCCAGAAATTTTTGAGTCGTGGGCCGTTTCCCAGCAAAATTATTTTGAGGACTGGGCAGCAATGGGCAATTAAAAATCAACTGGACTATAATTTAAAAACTTATTGTCGTTATAATATCCGATGTTTGTTGAAGAGAAATTCGTCACTCTCAATTAAGAGCTGAGATCACTCGCTGTTTTGTACTGTTTCATAAATGTATTATTCAACATTCAAATATATGAGTATTTTGTACAAGAGGGGACCAGCGTACTTCTGAGGTACAGAAGTACACTTATTCCTCTTGATTTTATATGTAAGAAGTATAGATAAACACAAATGGAACAAAAACTACGGTACCATAAATAAGCACAAATGAATCAAGCGATCCAAGTTTTCGTTTAACACCGGACATTTTAATACACAAAATATCCAGCACATAAATAATTGTAAATATCTATATCAATAACTGAACTGCTCGTTATTATTCTGTTATTCAACGGCAAAAAATGCTTGCTGTTTTCTTTCATTGGCCTGCAATATCAATAATTTCTTTCATTTCGTGCACGGTTGCAACGATCATTACTGTGCTTTAATTAGTGTGGGCAACAAGAAATGTTCGTCTGTCTGTTTTTTGTTGGACAATAACAAACGCCACTTATTTTTTTCTAGCGTCAGACAATGCGAAGGTTAGTTTGTCTTTCTTTCCATCAGCCGATGACAAGTATTAGTTTGTTCGGTTTTACCGAACAATTACAAGCGTCACTCCACACTTATCACTAGTGAATCCTAGCAAAACTGAATGTCTTGTTTTCTATGGCTCTGATATCCGGTTGTTTATAGATTCTCTAAATTACAGATTTCTAATTTATTGCTACTGCTTGAAATTCCTGATGATATTTTCAAAGCACTTTCATTTACATATTAGACCGTTCTTTTTATTTACATTTTCTATGTAGTTCATATAAGTTGTCAATT